TGAGTTACCAAGCACAAGCATTTATTTATTTGGCTGCTTTTGGTCTTAGTTGTGGCACATAGGATCTTTCATAATGGTGCATGGACTCTAGTTGTGTGTGGGCTCTGGAGCACACAGGCTCAGTAGTTGTCTTGTGGCATGTGGGATCTTAGTTTTTAAACCAGAGATCAAACCTGCGTCCCCTGCATTATAAGGCCAATTCTTAACCACTGGACTGCCGGGGAAGTCCCTCAGTTTTTATGAAAAAGTTTTGTCATGGCTCTCTTGGTACTAGGACACTGTTATCCATATAATACATAAATGTTGCTTGGTAGATAGATCCACAAATGAATGAAGGTACATTAAAATGAAAATCTAAATTGCAAAATCAGTGGACAGCCATTTAAAATAGAATAAGATGACATCATGCCAAATACAAACCAGAGATGCATATAATTTTGTCCAGGAATTATGTGTTCCAGTCTTCATTTTATAGATGAATTTTTAAATTAAAAAATGATAAATGACACATTAAGTGAAATGGAGTTATTTCTAGGTTTTCTGCTTAGCGTCATTCAAAGGTGATTTATTCTTAACTCCTTCCGTCATTAAAAATATCTCTATCTGTACCTTTTCCTGTGGGTCAGTTAATCAATAGTAGATTTTGATTATGTGACTTGCAGAAGCCCCAGGTTTTGAAATAAGCAGTTGTCCTTCCCATTATCTCTTAGCTAGTGTGTGTGTTAATCTCTCAGTTGCATCCAACTCTTTGCAGCCCCCTGGACTGTAGCCCACCAGGCTCCTCGATCCATGGAGTTCTCCAGGCAAAAAACTCTTAGCTAGAAGTACCTGTTTTTCACTTCTGATTTCATGCACACCGTGAAATCACCAAGAGCACACCAATCCACTCGTCCTGAGCTTTACCTATTTTCAGAAAACAGCAAAAGTATATTCCTCCACTAGACTAGAATCCATTTATGGATGCTGGGAAAGACTGAAGGCAGGAGGAGAAGGGGACCACAGAGGATGAGATAGTTGGATGGCATCACTGACTCGATGGACTTGAGTTTGGGCAAGCTCCGGGAGTTGGTGATGGACAGGGAAGCCTGGCATGCTGCAGTCCATGGGGTCACAAAGAGTTGGACATGACTGAATGAGTGAACTGAACTGACTCAGTTCAGATGGACACAGACTCCTTCTTTAACGACCTGAGATGTTTGCTTTCCAAAGTAGGATAAAACGGTAGAAAGTACTGTTTTGGGTACTCTTTAAAGAGGAAATTTTAGTGAGTGGGTTGTTGGAAAGAGACTCCATTACAAAATTCTCAGCTGAGATTGTAATCTAGGAGGTACATTCAGTAAATGTTTATGTGCTGCACAGCCTGTGAAACACAATCCTGTGAATGTGGAAGGGGATTAGTCATCATTCTTTTACCGTCTCTCTTTGCTTTTGATTTGTCTTTTTTATTGTGGTGTGTTTGGTTGGTTTTGTTTGACTTTAAGGTTCAGTATAGAGAAATTTCAGGAATATGGCTGAATTCATAAATTCACTCTGTAGGCACTTACATGACCCTTCAATTTAATTCACACTGCTTTTCACCATTTTACTCTCTGACATCAGTTATGAAATCCTATGTCAGTGAGAAAGTATAGACTATCTATGTGTGAAAGTAGTTTTAGGGTTCATAAACTATCTTGGCTGAGCAAGTCCATTTCATTCCCAATTAAAACTATAATGTAAAGGGCGAATTTAAAAACAAATCAGTAGTTCTCATTTTTAAAAAGTGATATATGAGTGAAGTAAAGTTACACAGAGAAAAATATCACTTATGCTTGGAATCTAAAAAAATCCTACAAATGAACTTATTTACAAAACAGACCAGACCTAAATTAAATCCCTTATGACTATACAGTGGAAGTGAGAAATAGATTTAAGGGACTAGATCTGATAGAGTGCCTGATGAACTATGGATGGAGGTTCATGACATTGTATAGGAGACAGGGAGCAAGACCATTCCCAAGAAAAATAAATGCAAAAACCCAAAATGGCTATCTGAGTAGGCCTTACCAATAGCTGTGAAAAGAAGAGAAATAAAAGCAAAGGAGAAAAGGGAAGATATTCCCATTTGAATCCAGAATTCCAAAGAATAGCAGGGAGAGATAAGAAAGCCTTCCTCAGCGATCAATGCAAAGAAATACAGGAAAGCAATAGAATGGGAAAAACTAGAGATCTCTTTAAGAAAATTAGAGGTACCAAGGGAACATTTCATGTAAAGACGAGTGCAATAAAGGACAGAAATGGGATGGACCTAACAGAAGCAGAAGATATTAAGAAGAGGTGGCAAGAATACACAGAGGAACTATACAAAAAAGATCTTCACAACCCAGATAATCACGATGATGTTATCACTCACCTAGAGCCAGACATCCTGGAATGTGAAGTCAAGTGGGCCTTAGGAAGCATCACTATGAACAGAGCTAGTGGAGGTGATAAATTCCAGTTAAGCTATTTCAAATCCTAAAAGATGATTCTGTGAAAGTGCTGCACTCAATATGCCAGCAAATTTGGAGAACTCAGCAATGGCCACAGGACTGGAAAAGGTCCGTTTTCATTCCAATCACAAAGAAAGTCAATGCCAAAGAATGCTCAAACTACTGAACAATTGTACTCATCTCACATGCTAGTAAAGTGATGCTCAAAATTCTCCAAGGCAAGCTTCAGCAATATGTAAAGCGTGAACTTCCAGATGTTCAAGCTGGATTTAGAAAAGGCAGAGGAACCGGAGATCAAATTGCCAATATCCGCTGGATCATTGAAAAAGCAGGAGAGTTCCAGAAAAGCATCTATTTATGCTTTATTGACTATACCAAAGCCTTTGACTATGTGGATCACAATAAACTGTGGAAGATTCTGAAGGAGAGGGAATACCAGACCACCTGACCTGCCTCTTGAGAAACCTGTATGCAAGTCAGGAGGCAATAGTTAGAACTGGACGTGGAAGAACTGACTGGTTCCAAATAGAAAAAGGAGTACGTTAAGGCTGTATATTGTCACCCTGCTTATTTAACTTACATGCAGAGTACATCATGAGAAACGCTGGGCTGGAAGAAGCACAAGCTGGAATCAAGACTGCCTGAAGAAATATCAATAACCTCAGATATGCAGATGACACCACCCTTATGGCAGAAAGTGAAGAAGAACTGAAGATTCCCTTGATGAAAGTGAAAGAGGAGAGTGAAAAAGTTGGCTTAAAGCTCAACATTCAGAAAACTAAGATCATGGCATCCAGTCCCATCACTTCATGGCAAATATATGGGGAAATAGTGGCTGACTTTATTTTGGGGCTCCAGAATCACTGTAGATGGTGACTGCAGCCATGAAATTAAAAGACGCTTACTCCTTGGTAGGAAAGTTATGACCAACCTAGGCAGCATATGACAAAGCAGAGACATTGCTTTGTCCACAAAGGTCCATCTGGCCAAGGCTATGGTTTTTCCAGTAGTCATGTATGGATGTGAGAGTTGCACTAGAACGAAAGCTGAGCACCAAAGAATTGATGCTTTTGAACTGTGATGCTGAAGAAGACTCTTGAGAGTCCTTTGGACTGCAAGGAGATACAACCAGTCTGTCCTAAAGGAGATCAGTCCTGGGTGTTCATTGGAAGGACTGATCCTGAAGCTGAAACTCCAATACTCTGGCCACCTGATAAGAAGACCAGACTCATTGGAAAAGACCCTGATGCTGGGAAAGATTGAGGGCAGGAGGAGAAGGGGATGACAGACGATGAGATGATTGGATGGCATCACCGACTCAATGGACATGGGTTTGGGTAGACTCTGGGAGTTGTTGAGGGACAGGGAGGCCTGGTGTGCTGCGGTTCATGGGGTCACAAAGAGTCAGACATGACTGAGTGAACTGAACTAAACAAAACAGAAAGACCTACAGACATAGAAAACAATCTTATCATTACCAAAGGGGAAGGGTGGAGAGGGATACCTTGGGAATTTGGAAGGAACATATACACACTGCTGTATATTAAATAAACAACAGGGTCTTACAGTATAGCACAGGGAGCTCTATTCTGTATCTTGTAATAATAGTGGGAAAGAACCTGAGAAAGAAAATATGTGTATAGCTGAATCACTTTGCTATATATTTGAAACTAACATTTCATTTGAAACAACACTGTAAATCAACTACTCTTGAATAAGAAATAAGCTATACCTACATATATATATATACCATTTTGTCAGAGATATTCATTATAGCATTATTTATAATTATAATAAATTTACTAAAATATTTACTAGTTTCAAAATGGTTGAAACAATTAACAGCCTATCATGCAGGTTATAAAAATTTGTGGATAAAATATAAGCATGTATTATATTTAAGTAGAGAAAAAAGAGAAATATCATATATGTAGCATGTTTGCTATACTGCAAAACAAAAGAACTGAAAATCTATGAATCCAACAGACAGGGAGAAATTATACTAAAATGAAAATAGGAATTTTATCCAAACACTAAGAAACTAAGCATAATTTTGTTTGGCTTTGGTTCCTTCTTTCAGCTTCCCTGAATTTTCTGAATTTCCTATACTAAACAGGTATCACTTTTATAGTAGAAAAAAGAAAGCTTCCAATTAGCATGGATTTTCCTGCTTGCACTCAGCTTTCTAGTGAAACTAGGGAGATATGAAAACCTCTTTGAAGAGGCAGTTTCAGAGCAGGCTGCAGAAGTAGGCCCCTCCAGAACTGTCTTAGGAGATGTAACCTCAGCCCTCCCCAGCTGAGTTCAGTTGCTCTGTGAAGATTCACATTATGAGTGTTTTCATCTTTTCATATTAAAAATGACCTCCTGGCTCGAATCTGAGCTTCCCAGATGACTAAGGCTTGCCGGGTGTAGCCTAAGAAAAAATAAAGCCAAACTCCTTAGTATTTCATCCTGCCCTTGAATTCTACATTTTATTTCTACTTTTGCTCATAGGCTTTGTTGTTCTGTTTTGTTTTCACTCTCTAGATCCAACAAAGGTAATGGTACCTCCTTCTAGTATGGATGTCACTGTTGGAGAAAGTATTGTTCTGCCATGCCAGGTAACACACGATCACTCGCTCAACATCATATTCACTTGGTCATTTAATGGACGCCTGATAGACTTTGACCGAGATGGGGACCACTTTGAAAGAGTTGGAGGGGTAAGTATAAATATCAGATTATCCACAGTAAATGCAATGTGCCCCTAAAGTGAGTCAAACAACTTGTGTAGACTAACTTGAAAGGAAATATAAAGTTATTCTTTGATGATTTTGCTCAAACACTTTAAAAAACTCTTGGTTAACGTCTGCTCTTTTTTGCATAATTGTGGCCCTGCTTATTGAGTCACTTGTTTGCCAGTCCTTTTCTTAACCCTCATAATCCTTAACCCTACAGGTTAGCTATTCGTATCTGTACATGAATGAGAAAACTCGGGGTCATGGGAGATACATGGCTTGCCTTGGCCTGATTGCTAATAAACTGCAGGTCTCAGCTTGAAACTTCAAATCCCAAATTCCTCTGCCCCATGGTGAACCATATGCCACGGAACTGAATTAATAAAATAGCTCGAGGACAGTTTACTCGTATGCTTTTAGACTGCTGGCAAAACTCCCTTTGGCTCTTGTAGAATACTTATCATTGTGAGGTTAGGGCTCTCTTTCTTGAATCTGAAAGTCTGATCAGATTGTTTATTATCTCCAAATAATTTGAATTCTAGTGATTGAGTTTTCCAAAGGCCTTAATTATTTCCCATAAAAAATACATAGTACCATTGAACTCACACCAAGAAAACATTAGATTTGGAAACAGTTTGAATCTATGACAATCATTTTCAAGGATAGTTTTCCTACCATAACATAGCCCTACTTTCCTGTTAGTAATGAAGATTACAGAGGGAAGGAATATATTGGAAGATTGGGATCGCCATATACACACTGCTATATATAAAATATAACTACTATATGTAAAACACTACTATATGTAAAACACTACTATATATAAAATAGATAACTAATAAGGACCTACTATATAGAACAGGGAAGTCTACTCAGTACTCTCTAATGTCTTATATGGGAATAAAATCTAAAAAAGAGTGGATATATGCATGCATAGCTGATTCACTTTGCTGCAAGTAAACACAACCTTGTAAATCAACTCTACTCCAATCCAAATTTTAAAACACATTCATTCCAGCTGCCATTATCATGGAGAGGACTAATCAAAGACAGCAGAATATAAGCATGAGGCTGTATTGAAAACACTCCCTTCCTCCATGCTCCAAAAGGAATCTGATTTGCCCATCTCATCTTATCCCCATCTCTTACATTGAGAATAAATGAACTAAAGCTTATAAATTATACATATGATATGTTGACCCTCAACATATTCTTCTCAAATATGATGCTATTACTATTATTTACATTCTTTCTGCCTTTCCCAAACAATACATCTCTACCGAATTACCAAACACCCAAAATAATTTCTGTAACTATTTTCTCAAGCCTCCCAAGGATTGTATATGACTGGTACCATTTTAAATGGATGAGAGAGAAGTTATTTCATTAAGTCAATGGAAGACTTGAGTCTATTGATTCCCTTGGAACTCTGGTTGAGAAAACTGGTTAGAATTGCCATTATTAACCACTCTGGACCACTTTGATATAGTTCAGTCTAATAACCTTGACCAAATAAAGAATGATATTAGCTATTTCACAACATCATTGAGGATACTAAATACCTTCAGGTTTAGAAACCTAAATAGCACAGTGCCTACCACCAAAAATAGTATGTGAGGAATTTTAATGATTGTATTCACTGAAGGAAGAGTAATAATAGTTCTAATAACATGAGAGTATACATTGAGAAAACCTTCATGGATTAAACAGAATATTTATTTTCATAGTAAAACCAGTGTCTTGGGCAGGAGAGATAATAAAAATATTCTCAGGATGGCATAGGCAACAACCAATCAGAACAACTGCCTGGGCTATCAAAATATAAATTCTGCCAGTAAGACAGTTGTGAACCTTATGCTGAACCACAGAAAGGTGGGTAGAGACGCCCCCGATGGAGTCGGGCACTGAGGACCACCTTTTGTAACGACCTCTGTCCATGGAATCGCTCTCAACAGCCTTTCGTATGGCATGTGTTTGTCTCTTCTGTGATACCAGTACTAAGTGCCAATCAGTCATTGCTAAAGAATTAAGTGCGAGATTTGGGACATCATTGCAAATTGTGAGAGCTAAGTGTGTTAGCCACCAGGATCCTTAATGTCTGTGGAGTTAGTGCTGGACAACAGAAGAGGTAAGGGAGCAATTCTGAAGTTAAGCCCATTTTGCAGTTTCTACTTGCCAGGTCAGTATGCTGCAAATGACATTTGGTAGAGCTAACCGATTGCAGTTTTTTAGAAGAGTTATAATTTCATTGTCCTCTGGTCACCTCCAGTGGTTCTGCCAGGAGCAGAGCAGACCACAGCATTGTGTGGTTCTCTATGGTAGGAATGTGAATGTAGATCTCAGTAAACAGTGTGGTCTGAATGACTTCAAAGGGAAAGAGAAAGTTATTGTCGTCTTCTTCTGTGAGCCTCTTACCTCAATCCCAACTTTATATTTCTTTTCTTTGTTTCACTTTTACTTTAAAAACACACATAGGGAAAGTATACTCCAAACCACACAGTCACAAAATTCTGTTAATGGATATCTGTGCTCCGAAATTTCCAGGCTACCACTAGCTTCTTTGAGCTTCCAGCCCTTGGTGAATAAAACAAATTATTGATATAGTGTAGCTATTTATTTTAAACCACTATGACTTTGTACCTTCACAACACACACTCCCTTATGAGGCATATTTTTTGTTTAAGTCTATGCTCAAAATCCTACTATGTGAAATGTCTTAGGTAAAGTAGTATTAATAGCCATGGTAATGATGATACCTTATACTTGCAAAATGTCTAATCATTTATCAAGCATTTTCATATGTATCAGCTCTTTAATCCTCAGAATCTCTGTGAAATATGGTAGCAATTATCCTATTTTACTAGCAATTAGAAGATTTCATGAGTAAATAGTAGAATCTAAGTGAGAATCCAAGTGTTATAGATTAAAAAAAAAAAGATTTCAGGTTTAAAAAGAAAAGCACAACTCTTCTTGAATTAGATTTAATATTTTTGACATAATTTTTCCCAAAGAATACTGTCCATGGCCACCCCCAATACTAGTTTAAATTTACCCGTGCTTTACAGTTTTCAGGATTTCATATACACATACAATCTCATCTGCTTCTCACAAGCTAGTGTCATAGACAATGCATCCTTCTTTCATGGGTTAATAAACTAAGGCCCAGAGACACACAGCAAGGATCAGCCCCAGACAGCTAAGTTTCAAAGCTTCAGCTCTCTCTTGACAACATGCTTTTGCACTTCTTCTAACCCTATTTGTAACTATTGGCAGGTCTATATCTTTCATTGCCTTGACTAAATATGTAATATGTTGTACTGAAATCAAGGATGAAGCCAAGTACACATTAATTTAGAATAAGATCTTTCCAGACGACAGCACAGCATTCTAGTAAAGGATAGGGACTGCAGCCTGACCATGTGAGCTCACAGCCTGGCTCTGCCACTGACCAGCTAGGTGACTCCAGGCAAGATGTCTAGCCTTTCTGTGCCTGAGTTTCCTCATCTGTATAGTAGGGATAGCAAAAGTGCCTACCTCACAGGACATGTCAGTACTCAGTATAATACATGCCTGCCAGATATTAAATACCACCAAGTATTATCCAATGTTATTGCCATCTGAAAGAATAACAATAGGGCCAAAATAACCTATGTTACCTTGCCATCCTTCATGATTTAGAAATAAGCATAGCTTCCTGACTCTGAACTCTAGGGTGTTCTCTTGCACAAGCAGCCATTCTCCAAACTTTTGATTAACAGAGCTATGAAACTCTAAGGTGTTGCTGTGTTTTTCAGTTTAATTGCCAGCTTTGTGATGGCCTGTAGCAGCATCTTCTCACATTTACTAAAAGTACTGTGCTGGTAAATGGTGTATAAATATTTCTAGGGCACCTCGATATCTATACCGGGCTGTAATGAGTGCTATTCATCTGCTGATCAAACACACATTTGGCATTGGAAAGCAAATTAGCCCCGTTCTACACTAGGGGATGCAAGATTTCCTTGGAGAGTCTGCTCCTCATAATTCTTTAATTCAAACTGAGGAGCAATCAGAATGCTGGCTGTAAGACAGGGTTGTGCAGTAAAATACAAGTGCCTCCAAACATGGACTTGCCTCCGCTTTCCATACAAAGAGTTCCCAAGTACTGCAGTGCCATCAAAAGCTGTAGGTTGAGGGCATATCTGAAGAAACCCACGGGACTAAATCAGCAGCCACTTTACATACATTTCAGTGCTTCCAAGGGAGCTCTCCTCAATGTTGTGTGGCAGCCAGGGTGGGAGGGGAGTTTGAGGGCGAATGCATGCTAAATCGCTTCAATTATGCCTGACTCTTTGTGGACCTATGGTCTGTAGCCCATTAGGCTCCTCTGTCCATGAGATTCTCCAGGCCAGAATCCTGGAGTGGGTTGTCATTCCTCCTCCAGGGGAACTTCCCGACGTAGCGATTTGAACCCAAGTCTCTTATGTCTGCGGCATTACCAGGTGGGTTCTTTACCACTAGCGCCACCTAGGGGAGAATGGATATATGCATATATATGACAGTCTCTTCGCTGTTCTGAAACTATCACAGTATTGTTATTGGGCTATACTCTAATATAAAATAAAAACATTTTAAAATAAATAAATGCATTTGAAAAAATAAACAGTTTAAGTGCTTCCAACGTGGGTGACAAACTGCTCCAGAGACGCAGAGGCCCGCCTGAGGTCTTATCCGAGCTGTGTCCTGAGTACGTTGCTGTTTTTACCTAACAGGCAGGCTCACGCATTTTTAATAGGCCATGGCTTGCATCGCTAATGTTTTCATCAGCCAGTGTAAAATAAATCTATTAGTCACAGTGTCCTTCGTGTGATAATGATATTTAGAGCTCATTAAAAAGTAATTGTAGCCACTTTCCCCTACTTTATCAGCAGGATTCAGCTGGTGATTTGATGATCCGAAACATCCAGCTGAAGCATGCTGGGAAATATGTCTGCATGGTCCAAACAAGTGTCGACAGGCTGTCTGCCGCTGCCGACCTGATCGTGAGAGGTATGGGAATTGGGAGTTTCATTCTTAAAATACTTTTGTGATATCTACTCCTGTGCAGAGTTCTAAAAGCTTCAGTGGTTTAGAATTACCAGGAAAGAGTCAATAGAAGGAAAACATTGTTAACGGTGTTAAGAGTCTACAGAAGTTTTGTGTACATCTGTTTTCTCTCATAGGGGATCAGAAAGTGCAGAGCAAATCCACTTACTCTCTACTGAAAAGAACTCCTCTGAAGGCCCCAAGTGCCATGATTTACAGTGTTGGAGTTGATAGGACCTTCGAGAAAAACTAGATTAAGAAAAGAAAATGGCTTAAAGAAGGATCACACTGTGCCTTTTGCAGTTTGTCTAGGCTGAACCAAATTGGTATCTTAGATCACTGATCTAAGAGTGGCTTAAGTAAAATCGCCACCAATTTTCCCCAGGTTTTTCCCCCTTAAGTGATTAGTTCTGTCCAGTTTCTACAATATGGCTTTAGAAGGAAATACCTCCTGACTGCCCAGGTTGTAGTAAATCAGCAGGGAGTTGATGTCAGAACCGACATGTGTGAGATTCTCTTGCATCTTACGGACGAGACCTAACTTCAGCCTCATGGCTGTGAGTGACGTGGCTGACTGAGTCCTACCAAACCAACGTGTAAAGAGACAGTAAGTGAACTTTAAGAAATATTTTTAAATTAACATTCAGTCTTTGTGAACCAGTGTATCTATCTATCTATTTATCTATCTATCTATCTATATCAGAATCAAACTGATGCTTGCTCAGAGGTTTGATGAAGTTAAATGCAAAGCCAAATCAGAACATCAAAATAATTTCTTAGCCAGTGTCTCCTTCACAAGTACAGTAAGCCCCCTACATACAAATGAGTTTAGTTCTGAGAGCATGTTTAAGTCCAGTTTGTTCGTAAGTCCAACCAAGTTAACTTACTCAACTAACACAGTCAGCTATCTAGTACTGTACAGCACCAGGTTAATAATACTTTTCACATAAAACACAAACAAAAAATAAAGGAAACATTTTTAATCTTACAGTACACACCTTGAAAAGTACAGTAGTACAGTACAGTAGTCGGCGTGTAGGGGCTGCAGTGAATGAACAGGCAAGAGAAGTTATTGATTGGAGGAGGGAGAAGAGGTGAGGGATGGTGGAGCTAAAGGATCGTCAGCAATAGGAGGGGAAGGGCATAACGTCATTCATACCTGACATTGATGGAACATATCTGCATCTATGAAAGTTTGCAACGTGAAGGTGCGTGTGTAGGTAACTTACAATACAGTAAGTGATTTGATGATCCAAAACATCCAGCTGAACACTAATACAAATGTTTAGGAATCTGGCCAGCAGAATTTTAAGTGTAAGAAAACAAAAATCCAGGTGATACCAGATTTGGAGGCAGGGTAAATCTGAGTGCACAAAGAACAAGATGTTACTGGAAGCAATAAAAAGTGTGGCTGCATCCTCTGCACGTAGCATGGGCGGGGGTGGGAGAGGTGTGGGAGTTAGCAATTCAAACTGATGTCAAGAGAGGTTAAAGAAAGATATCTTTTCCATCGGGTCTACTTTGATTCTTCTTTAAATTGCCTTAAAAACCTTTCTGTAATGGTACGGATAAGGGCCAGATAAGAGAAAAAGCTTCCAATCTGGGTACAGCTACCCAGAGAATAACCAAGGGCACCGTGTTTATTTCCGTTTTAAAATACACCAGAGCTGGTCTGCTCTTCCCTTGGGGGCGAAGGAATTCTGTGGCTGAAAATGTATCCTCTATTTAATTAGGATAATGTTCAGATCAGCAGTTTAAGTGCCAATAAATTAGAATCATAAAAATGTAAATCAGTAATAGTTGAATTTCTTAAGTGATATTGTATACTTCATTTCACAGAAAATAACATTAAACACCAAGAGGAATCTGCAAATGCTGTCTAAAAGAAAATCTAGCATAATCAGTGAATAAGGCCAATAAATTAATATGCCATTTTAAGCCATAATCTTCTGTTTTATCTCTTCCTGCCTCTGCCCTTGGCAGCTTTTCTGCACTTTGCAGTGGAGAGGCAGATATGTACTTCGTTGACCTGCCAGGGATTTTTGTATTTGAAACTAAAGGCTTGAAGTCTTGCATTTGGCTTCGTTGTTTCTCTGTTATCTACTTTATTTAATCTAAAGCACATGGACAGCAGCTAAAAAGGCCAGTCTTCCCTGAGAAAGATGCAGGAACGCCTGCATCCCCCTGCTATTATCTGTGACACAAACTCGTGTGAGCCCCAGCCCGTGTAAACACTCTGCTTAGAGGATAAACATATGCTCATGTTGTCATTTTGAAAGAGAGACCCAACTTCCCCAAAACAAATGGGTAAAAACATTCTGTGAGGTGTGAACGTATCTACCCTTGGGTGGGGCGGGTAGCAAAAACATAACAAACAGCAAACCCCACTGTGAAAGTATATCTTATCTCCAGCGGCCAAGTTCAGGCCACCTCCTTCACGTGCTCCTGCTGGTTGCCAAGAGTAGGCTCAGCTCTTCCCCCGTCCACTGAATTCACTGAGGGATTTGGAGAGGAATGCTTTTCTCCTTTGTGGCACTTTGATCCTAAAGGCCATGGAAGGAACATCTGTTTTTAAAAAGGATGTTTTTAAATAAGAAAGCTGGTGAGGCAAAAGAAAATTATATTATTATCTTCTGGACTTTCTGTGGTTAATAAGAGTCCTGAAGACCAGAGGTTATGCCAGCTCTATCTAGGTGGCATTAGACTGACGTGCCAAAATGTCACTGTGGAAAATTAATCAGTGCCAGCGTGCAGACTTGCAGACCTTTCATTCAGGAGTAGGAGGGAGATGATAAATTTAGTCTCACCTGTGGGTCTATAAAAAAAGCTTTTTAAAAAAGGAAAGAGAAATTTAGGGCATCACTGAAAGGGTACAGAAGTGAATCCCAGAACAAAGTGTTACTTGCAGAAACTGCCATTAACTTTTCAGCACTCTGGGAAAGGTCTCTTTCTTCCCTGCCCCTGTGCCATGGCCCCGAAGTATTTTGGTAGAACATCTGATCACTCTCTTGGGCCTCAGCACATCCCTCTGCCCCCTAGGAAGATCTCCTTACTCCTATCTAACACACAGGAACTTTGTCACTCTGTCTCCCTCCCTCGCATTCGATTTCTCTGCCAAGGTGGTCACTCATTAGAAATGCCTTTAACTGCCTGCTAAGAGCTTTTCATATTGGAATCTAGGACAGCTTTGGGTCTTTGATCCGGCCCTGTGTTATTTTGTGTTTGCCTGCCAACCACTTTACAGCTCTCTGTTTCCATCTCTCTGCAAGCCTTCATTTAAAACTGATTTCCTCCCATTTCAGTGGTCTAAGCACAGTGCTCTGTGCACATCCAGAGCAGAAGTAGAAAAATATAGGTGTGACTTACAGAAATTGCAGATGTGGGTCCTCAGGCTCCAACCCGATTTTGAAATTTCTTTGAAGAAGCCACAGAGTTTGGTTTCTTGAACATGAGCACTTTTCACAGCAGTTCCCTTGCACATGACTGTGTTTTGGCATTTGATGTGGACATCCCAGTGCGGCTGGACTATGCAGAAAAACTCTGTGACCCCAAAGTTCTAAAGTCATTTTTGCTCACACCATCAGGTGTAGAAATGACCACTTCCAGAAGACTCAGATCTTTATTTATCACCACTGTATCCCCAGATATCAGTGTCTAATTCATAGTAGGAACCTGTAAATATATGATGGGTGGATTAATGAACTTGGTCCCTGGTAGCACCCCAATATTCTCCTTTGGCATCTGAAAAAAAATATTCTATTGTAATTGTTGGGTACCTATTAGTTTTTCCTATTCTGTAGTGAACCCTGGAGGAAAGAGCCCAGACCATGTTTCACTCATCTATGTAGTTTCAGAACCTAGAAGGAAGACAGGCACCTCACAGGTATTTAGAAAGGAGTTGTCAAGTGTTGAACTTGGGGGTGGATGAATCAACTGTTGAATAAAATGTTGACCGTTCAACCAAGTGGTCACTTCCTTGGACATTTGAACACACTGCTCCACTTCTGAGGGTCTTGCTCTTTCTCAGGTCCTCCAGGGCCCCCAGAGGCCGTGACTATAGATGAAATTACAGACACCACGGCTCAGCTCTCCTGGAGACCTGGGCCTGACAACCACAGCCCCATCACCGTGTATGTCATTCAAGCCAGGACTCCATTCTCCGTGGGCTGGCAAGCAGTCAGCACAGGTACTGTATTGAATCTCTGACTCTGGTGTCTCCCTGGGGCTTCAGGAACTCAGCAGAATGGACACAGCTGTGTAGCAGATGCTGAGGGGCCTCTTGTTTCCTGTTCAAACACATGGCTACAGATGAGACTTTTGGGCAGCGTTTCCCAGACCTCAGCCCACTATACCATCATTTATTTAATATTTTTCTTTCTATTGATTCACATTTGCTTGTTCTTGAATTTGTTCTAAGCCACAGTGTCTAAAATGATGTTAGGTGTTGGCGTTGGTGGTGGTTTAGTTGGTAAGTCATGTCGGACTCTTGCGACCTCATGGACTGTAGCCTGCAAAACTCCTCTGTCCATCGGGTTCTCCAAGTGAGAATACTGGAGTGGGTTGCCATTTCCTTTTCCAGAGGATCTTCCTGACCCGGGAATCAAACCCTGGTCTCCTGCATTATAAGCAGATTCTTTACCGACTGAGCTTTGAGACAAGCCGACAAGGTCTTCTGTTGGTTTTATTTTTTAAACATATTTTATATTACATTTGTTATAAAGATAAAATGCATCGTCGGTCTGTGCATTACCTGAAACCGTCTGTGTGCCTCCAGTGGTGCACTTCGAAAAGCAGTGGACGGTGTTACTCTGTAGTCACAGTCTTTGTAAAGTTTATACCCAGCATTCAAGAAACCTGTATCTAAGGGCTGCATGGAGACTCCTGGCTTGCTGTCATTTTTTTAGATGGATACATTTGAGTATGAAGAGGCATGAGGTTTTGTTAAAGAATACGTGAGTGGGCCTACCATTTCTGCTCCTGTCTATACCTCTCAACTGACTCATTTTGTTATTTTATTGAGGTTTTGTTTGAGGAAAAAAACAAACAAGTAGTTATTGTAAGCATGTTGCACACTCCTCTGGTTTTTCCATTGGAGCGTATCTGACCTCAGAAATGGGTTTCTGTGTTTCCAGCTGAATCACTGACTTTCTCCTGGGTCATGGGAGTGTTTTAGGAAGAAAGGAAAGGAAAATCTGGAACTTAAGGAGATATGACTTCTAATCCTGACTCTGCTAATCAGCAGATTTCTATACATCTTTATTTTCCTCTTCTGTTAAATGGGCAAAATAAGAACTTTTATGACCCTGTACAGAAGTGATTGTGAAACTTAAAAAAAAAAAAAAAAAGTAAATCACTGCATAAATATGATGAAGGAAAGGAGGGGGATGAAGATATTGATATTCAAGTTTCATAACAATGATAAGGATAGTATATAAAAGAAAACATATACAGCTAGAATTGGTTGAGCCCTTATCTAAGTGCTTTTCTTGGGTCTGCTCAACTGCACTGTGAATAGATGTTATTAGTTTTACTTCACAGTGAGAAGACCAAGCCATGGAAAGGTTAAGCAACTTCCCTAAGGTTCTTTGGCTGCTAAGAGTGGATTCAGGATTAGAATCCAGGTTGTCTGACTCCAGAGCCCACACTTTTCACCTTTGGAGGGAAGGACTGTATACATGTGCTCCCTAGGAGGCTGGAAGTCACTGAAGTCTGGTCAGTGGGGCCTCAGCTTTGTCATAGGGACATCCCCTGGGCCCTTTGGGAAATCTTTATGGTAATCAGTTCAGAACCCAAAAGGTTGCACAGTGAGTGTAGAAGCCAAGTCCAGGGCTCTGTGGCTTGTGGCTTCAGGCAGTGAGCCCCGGCCTCTGTGGAGGAGGCCGTCCCCACATCCTGCTGAATGAACACTGTCAAATGCTGCCTCTCTGATCCCACTTTTTGTGTTCTTCATGGACCGTCCGTTCTACATTTGCAGCTTCTTTCTTTCGATGTGCTAATACAACTCATTGACAGTAGTTTGGATCTATAACATTATTACTCCGTTGTTACTATAATGGAGCTTGGGCCATGTGGTCAAAGATACAAATCCACTTGGGTGAGTCATTTGACCTTTATGTGGTACCTTTTCCTCATCTATAAAAATGAAGAGAATAATCTTACGTTATTCCTAGGGTAGTTATAAGAATTAAACAATGTGCCCAGTCCTATTCAGTAACTACCGAGAAACATGTGAGGTGAGAGAGAATAAGAGTGATTACATTCAGGTAGCCTTGAGCCTTGGAGACTGTCTTTTGTGGCATCATCTGCTGGTGTGAAATTTGAGTTGATCGGTCTGGCGCGGAGTACTCTGGGATGACCTCCATGTAAGGGCTGTTTGTGCAGCTGCCCTCAGACCTGTGGTGGTACCCCGGTTACAGTGACAGTGATGATGGTGATGAACTAAGTTCCAGTCTTCCTAACGCAGAATACTATGAAACATCCTCACCTTTTTTTTTAACCTTGTAATAACTAAAGTTGATGGCATATAATTTTGAATTCCTTTTAGTCAATATTTTGTTACATATAATTTTGAATCACAGTCACCAATACTTTTTCTTAAATTGGGGCAAGTAGTAAAATCAACTATTTCACTTTCTTTCGATGTCTTTCAGTCCCAGAACTCATTGATGGGAAGACCTTCACAGCCACTGTGGTGGGTCTGAACCCCTGGGTCGAGTATGAATTCCGCACAGTTGCAGCCAACGTGATTGGGATTGGGGAGCCCAGCCGGCCCTCGGAGAAGCGGAGGACAGAAGAGGCCCGTGAGTAGCACTCCGAAAACAGCAACTCCTGCTCCTTAGGGAGAGGCTTTTAATCACCCTGTTCTTCAGCCCCAATGAGGTTCTATGTTAACACATCCTTCCCTACAATGACTGTAGTCATCAGAAATGAGGCCAGTAGATGCTCAGCTTATTAACCAGCAGGGAGTATCTTTTCTATTGTTGTTTTTATTTATTTATTTTTGTTGAAGTATATTTGATGTACAATATTATACAAGTTAGAGGTGTACAGTTTGGTGAGTCACAATTTTTAAAGGTTACACACTCCATTTATACTTATTATAAACTATTGGCTATATTCCCTATGTTTTTTGATGTATCCTTGTACCTTATTTTGTACCTAATGATTTGTACCCCATACTTCCCTACCCTTACAACATCCCTCCCCAACTTCTGTCCCCACTGGTAACCACTGGTTTGTTCTTTCTCTCTTTCCATGAGTCCCAGCACTGAGTTTCAATCTCAGGTTATATTCTCACTCTTCACTGGGTTCCCTGGTCCAGGGAGAGACACTTGTCTTAGTTCCCTCAAATGCCATGTCTTTCTTCATTGGTTGCTTTGTCACCAAGACTTTCCCACGAGGATTATTATTTTTTTAAAGGCACAACCACACTTCAAATGCTATCAACTCACAGGAATCTCAAGTGACAAAGATTAAGTTCTTCAGAAATGTCCAGTCAGATTATCTTAGGGCATAAACCCTTCCCAAAAGCTATGGTTGGGAAATAAAAGTGTTAGTCACTCACTTGTGCCCGACTCTGCAACCCTGTGGCCTGCAGCCCGCCAGGTTCCTCTAGCCATGGGATTTTCCAGGCAAGGATACTGGAATGGGTTGCCGTTTCCTTCCTGCTAATTCAAGCAAACCCAATCAACAGTTTAGTAGGAACTTCTGTAGACACAGCTTGGGTGAACACAGGGAGAGAATAGTATAAATTCATCAGCATTCCTTGTCTTTGTCTCACATGGTGTGGAAGGCCTAGGTGTGGGTGTCTGAGAAGGTCCCAACCGTGATGAGACCAGTGTTTGTCATTGTTGTTATCCAATCGCTCACTCACGTCTGACTCTTTGTGACCCCGTGAACTGCCACACACCAGTCTTCCCTGTCCTTCACCATCTCCCTGAGTTTGCTCAAACTCATGTCCCTTGAGTCCGTGATGCTATCTGACCATCTCATCCTCGGCGTTTGTTGAAGAAAGAGCAAAGCCCAGAGCAAATGGGGCCTCTGACCCTACTCTTGGACACAAATCCATCTAGATTTGTTTCATTGTCTTTATCCAAGGGGACATACCCAGGTACCACATCTCTACCCCAGCCAGACATTTTCAGATTCTGTCTGGAGTTGTTCACTTACATGATGATAAGCCAATAATCCCCATGCTTCCTTCCCCCCCTGTGAAATCATAATTTAATTAATTCCTCTCAGCAGTCCTGAGGAGAAAGCTAGCCAAATTTCCCCTCTTTTACAGAGAAAACTGGGGATCAAAGAGTTTAAGCACAGTGAGCCAGAGGTCAACCTCTGTCCACCACTTCCTTCAACACCCAGCTCACAGCTCACGTTGCTCCGAGAAGCCATTAGCCCAGCCCTGCTCTGAGCAGCCCGCGCTGCCGAAGGCCGCTGCACGCCTCCATTCTGTCTCTGCTGCGCTATTGTGGTTGTCGCCATCGCCCTGTAATCATCCTGCATGTGCTCCTGCCTCCCAGCTAGACTGTAAACTCTGCACGGGCAGAGTGTGTATTGTCTCTCCTTCATGTATTGCCATGTGGTTAATAAACGCCTACCCGAGCATTAGAACCAGGACCTCAGTCCTTTTCTCATCCCCCTGAACCTCGGCCTCTAAGGGTGGAGCTGAACCATTGTTCTGTCTTGTCAGATAATAGGTGTGCCTTGTTGAATGGGAAATAGGTCACTATGGAATATCAGTTTCCTTGGTATATTTCATTTCTGTGAACTGATGCTTTAGACCCTTTGATCATACCATTTCTGACCTCAGAAAACAAAGCCCTGCACATCCAACTATTTGTTAGACTGGGTCACCTCAGCCCAGCCGCCCTCTTGGCCCTCCTGGTCTTTGTCACCTGACACGACTTGTTTTTGTCTCCTCAACAGTCCCCGAAGTCACCCCAGCTAACGTCAGTGGTGGTGGAGGCAGCAAATCTGAACTGGTTATAACGTGGGAGGTAAATGAATCATGAAACAACAGCAAAACGCATTAGTCCAGGCTATCTTGTCATTTTATTCTGTGTTAAACATATCTAGGAAGTTTCCTCCTCTGTTTTTAACAACTAAAGGCCATTTGAGTGCAGACACTCCCTTAGGTCAGCAGAAAGAGATGATGTTTGCCCATCGATTATGGAGTTAAGTTTTAATTCAGTTCATCACAGAAAAAACAATCATGAAAGGGAAGACAACACAAGAAGTGTATGTAATATTATACATTAAAGAAATCTGGCTTAGAAAAAACCAGTTTTTTTCCTTTTTTCCTGAATTACTTCAAGGCCAATTGATCTAAAACCTCTGTGCACATTAGACTGCTTATGCCAACACAATTTCCTAGGGTTGACTTTGCTGCTGGAGCCCTCTTGTGTAAGGTTATTTTTTAAAAAAACATAGAGGTTTATTAGTCAATCATTTATTGAAAATCGATTTTGAGAGAGGAAGTCAGAGCCTCAGCAAGCGTTCTAAATGTTTCTGAAGGATTCTAGACAACAAGCCTGGAAGTTCAAATCTGTCCCTTTAACCAAAGCCCCAGCAGTGAGATAAACCACTCACCCTTTCCTGCTCAGCACTTCTGAGCTGAGAGGGAAGATTGGGGCTGAGCAAAATGGTCCTCACTTCTTTGGTGAGAGCTGCTTCATTGAGTGTCTGTGTGACGCTGGAGGAAGAATCGTGTCTGATGGTACATGTTGGAAATGTTGGTTCTTAGATCAACTGCCCAGTGTCTCCCACCGTCATTTCCAACACGTTCAGAGTTGGGTCTCCCACGTCAGGAAGCCAGGCTCTCCACTGCAGGGTTACAGTGATTTTTTTAAACTCCTGCTGCAGTCCCCTCTGAATATCAAAGCTAGACGGATGGCGAGTCCCAAACCGAAGACTCTCTGCAAAACCCACGATGAGATAGGATGGAGGCAAGATGGGGGTGTGGGTGGTGGTGGAATAAAACAAGGTGGCACTTGAATCAAGCTACTGCAGTCTCTGAAGACCACCTCCCTTCTTTCCCAGACGGTCCCTGAGGAGTTACAGAACGGCAGAGGCTTTGGTTATGTGGTGGCCTTCCGACCCTATGGCAAAATGATCTGGATGCTGACGGTGCTGGCCTCCGCTGACGCCTCCAGATACGTGTTCAGGAATGAGAGCGTGCGTCCCTTCTCTCCTTTTGAGGTTAAAGTGGGTGTCTTCAACAATAAAGGAGAGGGCCCTTTCAGTCCCACCACGGTGGTATATTCTGCAGAAGAAGGTATGATGCTTCTTCAATTCCAAGCTGTTGATTTTATTTATTTGTTTATTTACTTGTGGCTGCTCTGGGTATTCGTTGGTGCCTGCGATCTCTCGAGGTTCAGAGAACAGGGGCAGCTCTCTGGATGTGGTGCGCGGGCTTCTCACTGCAGGTGTGTGGCCTTCTCCTCTTGCTGAACGTGGGCTCTAGGGTGCAAGGGCTTCAGTGGTTGCTGCTCCTAGCCTCAGTAACTGTGGCTGGTGGGCTCCAGAGCACAAACTCAGTAGTTGTGGTGCCCCGGCTAAGCTGCCCCCCGACACACCCCACATGTAGGGTGTTCCTGGACCAGGGATCGAACCAGTGTCCCCTATATTGTAGCGGATTCCTAACCACTGGACCACAGGGGAAGCCCTAGATATTGATTTCAGGATGTGCCATCACTTTAGCGCCCTACCCATAAATTGAAGGCGTATCCTGACTTGAGAAAAGTGTAGTATGAAAAATACATTTCATTGTCTTCCACCAATCTCTTAGAAAGACAGCAACTCCATGATATATAAAAACAAATGGATATCCATTATTAATTCCATTGCTAGGGACCAAAATCACAAGCACTATAGAAGATCTTCCATTTATATATAATATTATTTTCAACAGAATTATATTTTATACCTTTAGGTGAGTGCCAAAATATAACTTGCATTTCCTCTTACCACTTTTCGTATGTCATAGTATACTCAAAAATTATTCTGTTATTAAGTAGAGAGAGTCACGAAGCAATGTGATTGTTCTCATTGTCACCCCTGGTGTTATCACGTTGAGGGGTTCTCATTTATTTTTACTGCCTCTGTGCTAGCATTGCTCTTAGAATGCCTTGCATAATGGTCTTCATTTCCATTGGCGTTCACCTTCATTGTTTCAAAGCTGATGTTTGGAATGAGACCATATTAAAACAGTTCCAAGTCGAGTCATTGATTTGGAGTAAATGAAGATGCAGTCCTTTCTGTGCAGAAAGAGAAATCAGCCCCTTAGACTCAGCAGTTCTCCATGATCTCACCCTCACCTCTCTTTTCTGCTTCACTTCCCTGCATGATCCATGCTCCAACCATAGCCAGAGGATTTGCAATTATCCAAAGAAGCTTGAGCCCCTAGCATATGCTTCAGCTTCTCTTAATGGTCTCTGCCTTGCCCACTTTGTGCTTTCACAGTTATCTTTCAAAATTCAACTTGAACAACTAAGGCCTCTCATTTCCCTAGGCCAGCTGACTGAGTTGCTTCTCTTTGTCCCTGTACCCTAACATTCCTTTGTTATAATTCTCATCTCAATGAATTATAAGTTTTGAATTATAGTTTTATATTCTCACTAAGGTGTATTTCCTGAGGGCCAGATATTTATTTTTTCACCTTTGTGTCACCAGTGTCTGTGTGTATGCCACACAGACCCCTAATAAATACTGAGTGAATTAACACACAGACAGACTGATACATTATTATAAATAGACACAACCTTAGTGGCCTCCACCTCCAGCATGTTCTGGAACATAATGTAGATTTCAGAGGGAGCACGCAAATTACTGTTAATGGTTCTAGGTGAACCTTTAAACATATCTGATAGTTATATATTGGTTTGAATTGTATCAGATAAAAAAATACAGCCATCAAATCAAAACCAGAATTTCATGAAGTTACAGCTCACAATATGCCTAGGCTTTTCCTTAAGAAAGACCACTGAAAGGAAAACCTTCACACAAAAATGGTACATAGCTCTGGCAGAAATCTGGCAAAAAGAACTGAAATGTGGGGGACAGACTTGGTCTCGACTCTCCTTTGCAGCTGAGGATACTGAGGCCCAGAAAGCATAAATGACTTGTCCAAGACATACAGATGGCGATGCAGAACTGAACTGTCACCCAGCCCTCCTGAAACTTAGTCAAGTCAGTTGATTCTCCTGTTTTCTGTCTCTCTCATTTTCATAACAGCGAGTGGAACTCTCACCTATGACAAATGCTAATTAAGAAGAATGTATATTAAATAAATTGCTGGCTAGGAGAACTTGACTCTTAAACTTCAGTTTCCTGGTTTATTTCCCTTCCACTTAACCCTAAATTTAGAAGACAAAGACTTTGAACAGCTCTCTTCAGCACTGTATCCATCACCACCCCCTCCCAGCCATTAATCCTGGGTCCTCTGTGAAGTGAATGTTTGGGTCATGTTCAGTAAAGATTAGTCTATAGTAATGGATTCTTTGCACCTATGAGGCCAGTATCCAGAAGGCTATTTTGATATAGCTGATAGAGTCGTAAATTTTTGCACACTCATCTGCAGAACCCACCAAACCACCAGCCAGCATCTTTGCCAGAAGTCTTTCTGCAACAGACATTGAAGTTTTCTGGGCCTCCCCCATGGAGAAGAATAGAGGTCGGATACAAGGGTATGAGGTAAGCAAGAGAGGGGTGTCTTGGTTCTGGGTAAGGGTCTCTACCCCTCAGTGAGAACTTTCCAAACACAGACGGATGGAAAAAAAGACCTCGAGTTCCATGTAAAGACATTTGTTTTAGAGAACAATGGCTTCTAGAGGAGCATGAATGAAAGCACTGAGCATTCTGCTGTCAGCTTACTCCTTTCTAAATTACAGAGATCTGTGTCTAAACACATGCAGGTCTAAGCATATATAAGATGGTTGGCAAATTGAACTTTGATTTCTGATACACCCAGCATCACTTGGCCTCAAAACAAGGTGGGGGTCAGGGAGGGAGAAATAGCAACAATGGTTGTGCCAATTTACCGTCTCACTCTGAAGCTCAGAACAAAGAGGGGGCCTTTTTTTTTTGCCAATTATTTCTCAGTGCACACAAAGGTCTTAGTTCTGAACGCTCTGCTTATGATTTGCTGTATAGAAAATTAACACCGTCCTAAGAATCTTGTATGAAAAAAAAATCACATTGGCGATATCCCCAATAGGTATGACATCCAAGGTCTTCCTTTGTGTTTTCTCAGGTTAAATATTGGAGACATGATGACAAAGAAGAAAATGCTCGAAAAATACGAACAATAGGAAATCAGACATCAACAAAAATCACCAACTTAAAAGGCAGTGCCCTGTATCATTTAGCTGTCAAGGCATATAATTCTGCTGGGACAGGCCCCTCCAGTGCGACGGTCAATGTGACAACCAGAAAGCCGCGTAAGAATATTCTTGCTCAGAAATATTTTAGGGATTCATCAAACATATTCCAAGTTCATTGCCCATCCCTACCTCCCAGTGATCATTTGCATACTAATTGGTATCATTATGGAGATTCAGATTTACCTTAGCATTTTAACTGAACCTTCCCGAATACCATGCAAAATTCATTGCTCTAGAGGACAGAAAGATAAATGTTTTCTCCTCACTGGGAAGGGCTACTTCTTTTAGCTATAAATGTTAGGCGACCAACTGAATCTTTTTCCATTTGCAGCGCTGTATCTCGTCAGATTTTAGTGACCTTGAAGACACATATTAGTGCAATAGCCTGTTAAATTGCCTCCACTCTCGAATTCTAGGAAGGAGATATTCCTCAGAATCCATTGAGACTTAATAATCTGTGACTTCGTATATCTTAATTTTTTTTCTAGCGCCAAGTCAACCCCCTGGAAACATCATATGGAATTCATCGGACTCCAAAATTATCCTCAATTGGGATCAAGTGAAGGCCCTGGATAATGAGTCAGAAGTAAAAGGATACAAAGTGGGTAATTTCTTTTTTTGCTAAGGCACCTATACTCCTGCTGTTAATGGGGGCACACTGTTCTCGTGAATCTTATGATCACTGTCCTCACTTTCCCAGATGATGCTCTCACAGCCTCCTTTCTCCATCTCTGCCCCAGAGTTGTTTGGTCTGAGTTTTATAAATGGTCCCTGACAACTGGCCAGGATTGAGAGAATCACCTAAACTTCAGTCTCAGGCACAGTCACCAGAAGCAGTTAAAGACCCTGTGTTTGGGTCTATAAAAAAATCATGAAGAACCACATTTTTAATATCTCCAAAGTCAGTTTTGTTTTGTTCTTGTCTTGATCACATTTTTAATCAACAGTAGTAACTTCTCAGTGTTACTAATGGTTAATTATTTTTGTTCATGTCCCTTTTGTTATGGAGATACTGTTGTTGTTTAGTCACCAAATCGTGTCCAACTCTTTGCGACCCTCTGGACTGTAGCCTACCAGGTTCCTCTGTCCATGGGATTTCTCAGGCAAGAATACTGGAGTGGGTTGCCATTTCCTTCTCCAGGGAATCTTCCTGACCCAGGGATTGAACCCTCATCTCCTGCTTGGCAGGTGGATTCTTTACCACTGAGCCACTAAGGAAGCCCATATATGTGCATGTGGATATGGATATGGATGTACACATATACACAAGAATTTTTTAGGAAATTAATTTACCTGATCCTATAAATGTTAGCCTGACTTTAATAAACTAGAAAAGGAAATTGATTGTAGCTGTAGTGCCACAGTCATTAAAATTAAAAGGCATTTTAAGTATCCTGTTTTGTTTCACTTTTAAACAGCATTTGGGGCAACACAGGCCAAACAGAACTAGTCAGCAGGATGTATCAAGCCGGCATGCTGCTATTTTGTGACATTTTCGGTCTGAGCTGAAGACAGCAGCCCACTGACAGTGCTGGCAGGCGCTGTTACAGTGTGTGAAGCCAGGGCTGGGAGTTGACACAGTTAGCCTTGAGTGATGTGATTAGAGGATTCAGAAACCTTCCCTTCTATGGACCGTTTTCCTTTGTCCACAAGGCACAGTGATTTGTATTCTGCAGCAGGGAAATGTTCCCGAAGAACTGATCTACAGACCTTCCACTGGATCCCTTTTTAAAAAGAAACTTTCTAGCAGGGTCTTACAGAGTAGAGCAAAAAACAACCACGTCTTGGTCATCTAGTCAGTATGCGACTTCAGGTAAATCACGTAACCTCTCTGGGACTGCATTTCTCTTTTGCTAAAGGAGAAATCTGCCAGTGCCTTCATTTTCCCCACGCCTTTACGGCTCTATTCCTTCTCCTTGGGACTGCCCCCTCTTACATCCTCATCCTTAATCGGGTCTGAGATGAGAAGCCTTCCCTGATGGCCAGAGCTCTCACTATTTGTCAGATTTTTTAAAGTACTTTCCATCCTCTTGGGTAATTATAATTGGCTGATGACTTACTGTGAATCCCCAGACTGTGGGCCTCACGAGCACCTAGCCTGAATGGTCCCCATAATTTCTCCAGCCAAGGATGCATTCTCTACAGTGGTATGAGAAGGGAGCCCTCATTTCCTGAACTCCTAAATCATTAGTCTCTTAGTGTGAAATAATTGGAAAGAGTTCATCTGACTAGTTTTATCCAACTTGAGAGAGGCCTGGGGTTTGGGAGGCTGGAAGATCAAAGAGAGAGAAAGGAGTGAGACGATGCAAAGAAAGGAGGCAGGAGTGAAGACTGTTCTCACAGTGCTCTGACCCACGCTGACACTGCCGGGGCTTTGAACACAGCACGAAAGAGATGCAGATGTGATTGGCCTGAATTAATTTAACCAAACCAAGGGAGAGAAGGAAAAAAACACAGGAGACAGAAAGTCTTCCTCCCGGCTTCCAGTGTCACCTAGTAGAACAGGAGAGAGGAAACACAATAAAAATCCCAAAGCTTTAGCAGTCCCTGAGGAGGGGCACGAGTTCCACGAAAGAAGATTTTACTAGGTCTTAAAGCTCAGGTTGAAACTGCTGCTGAAATAAAATTGAACGGCAGGGAGCTGCCTAAAGAATTTTAGGGAACCAAGCAAAATGTTAGCTGGGCAGGAAACCCCGGAGATCATCCAGCTGAAGCCCTTCATTTTACAAATGTGAAAACCGAAGGCTGTTGAATAAAGGGACTTGGAGTGCCGTCAGCTTCCACAGGGCAGGGATGCATACACAAGCTGAAGTTTACTTCAGTGAGCTGGGTCTAAAGGATTATAGGCATTTTCAGAAGAATAATTGAAAAATGAGTATCATTTAGTTACTATGTCTTTGTCTTCCTGCCCTCTCTCCGAAACTCGTATGAACTTGTCTTATTAGCACTTTTCCAAGGAGGCCCTTCATATATATACATACATGTATATATATATTTTTTTTTTTTTAATTCAACAGACACTTTTACAGACATCTAGAAGATTCCCCCGTGCAGCACAGAATCAGGCAGCTTTGCGGGAATCAAGCAGCACAAGGCTGACATGGAAGTATTCACCTCCCAGAAAAGAACTGGGGCTTCCCACAGTATTTGGGGAACTTTTTACTCCTGTAGGACTAGAATAAAACATTGGAACAAATTACAGCTGGATAGCATGGAACTTTTGCAGGTGTGAGCATCAGATGAGATGCTATAAATTACTTATTTATTTATTTATTCATTTTGGTAGAAAGACCCAGTATGTATTTATTTCATATATTCATCACAAGGGTTCAACCACGGACTTAATTTAAAATAAAAAAAGCAACAAAAAAGACATTACAATTTAAGATACAGAGACCTATCCAGAAATCAAGGAAAGGACAATCTCAGGAAATAATAAAAAGACAGCACAAGGAGAACCATGGATTTAGGCCACCCCATCCCCCCCTACCCCCACCAATAAGTTTTTTCATGTTGATTCACTGTGTCTTGTAGATCTAAATTACATCTATGAAATATCTAGTGGCACCTCCAGGGTGGGAATTTCATGCCTTAGGAAGCATCACTAATGGGTGGGTATGAAGTTTGAAATGCTGCATGTGCTGACTGAAGGAGCAACAAGGTGGGAAGGCGCCTTTCTGACTTCTGCTTGACTTCCCATTCGATTCAGTTCCTTCCCTTCTCTTTAGAGCTGGGACTGGAGGAACCAGACTCCCCATGCATCCTCATTTAGATCCCAAGGGGTCTCAGCGTACCTGGTTACAGATACTGAAATGCTACACACACAGTGTCAACGTTCAGGATATACAGTTCTGTAAAAACTTTACATACATATCTGTGTGTGTTTTTGTTTTTCTATCTAAATTGTCTAGATCTGTGGGTTTTCTGCTTGGGTAAACAGTCCACAAAAGAACTCAACTTTAGGAAGTTTAAGGCCCCAAATACTGTTTCAGCACAAATTGTCAAGCTACTTTATGACACTTGAACTAAAAAGAGAGTGTGTCTGGTTTCCGTATCACAAAGTAAATTGTCTACAGAGCCAGGCAGGTTATGTAAATGGATTAATCTTTCAACAAAATATCATCAATAAACGTGCCAAGTATGGGTCCAATTCTTTCTAACTTTATAATAACCCATGAAGCAGGTGCAGTTATTAGCCTCAGTTTTATAGATAAATAACTCATGGCACAGAGTTTAGTAACTTGCCTTCTTCATATAGCTAGTATTCTTTTTACTAATTTATTGAGACATGATTGACATATAATATTGTTTAAGATATACACATGTTGATTTGATACAGTTATATATTGCGATATGATCACCACCATAGCATATGCTAAGGCCTCCATCCCATCACTTAATTACCATTTCTTGTTTGTGGTGAGAACATTGAGATCTACTCTCTTAGCACCACCCAAGTACATGATATAGTGTTATTAACACAGCTAGTATGTTGACCTGAACTCGGAATACAGGCAGTATGGATCCAGAGTCCTGCCTTTTAGCCCCTCAGTTATTTGCCTGCCAGAAGTAAACAAATAGATCAATAAAGTACTACCAAGAGAAATAACTCAGAGTCGGGGGAGTAGACAGTGGATAGATAGGAGAGGTGTTAAAGTCCAGGGAAAGCCTTTATCAAGGGGTGACATTTCAGTTGGGTCATAAAAAAAGGAGGGAGTGAGATAAGCAGCCCTCTGAGAGTGTTCCAAGAATAGTGACCAGGATGTGCAGATGTCCTGAGGTAGATGCATAGCATCATGACATAATAGGGCGTGTTGGAGACCATGGTACCTATAGACTTTGTGATGGTCCAGAAAAGGCAGTAAGTTCTAAGGTCCAACCAGTTGTTTCCAGACAGGAATGTAGACCAATGCGGCTATATCTTCCAGTTTTTAATAGAACCCCAAATTTTATTATGTATAGTTTCTTGGTGTATAGTTTTAAGTGGTGACGTCTAACTTTAAAAAAAAGTAAACCCACCGAGGCCCAAATAGTTAAAATGTGCAAGCCAAATGTAACCTATGGGCCATGAGCTTTCTACTCTCTAACCCCCTTTGTTTTGTGTTCATGGAAATAGAGACCACAGAATGAAAGCAGTTTGTCCACAGTGGTGGCCAAGCTGGTCTTAGTTAAGAATATAGGCTGTGAACCCACCCTGCCAGAGTTTGAATGCTGTGTCCCCCACTTACTGGCTTTAAGATCCTGGGCACATTGCTGAACATCTCCAGGCCTCAGACTCCTCATCTTTAAAATCAGAATAGGGGCTTCTGTGATTATCCAGGAGTTAAGACACCACACTTCCAGTGCAGGGGGAGCAGGTACAATACCTGGTCAGATAACTAAGATCTCACATGCAGCGTGGCCAAAAAAGAAAATCAGAATAATAATAGTGCCTATCTCAAGGTATATGATGTTGAAACTCATGATCAGCATTCAATAATGTTTGATCCTATTTTCATTGTTCCCACGAACTTACTCTTTCTCCTTGTCTTCCACAGTGGATTATAGGAAATGTAAGCACTGCCTTTAAGTCAATCAGCAGAACTAAAGCTGAAATGAGCCTCACTGTGGTGTAAAGGCTTTACAGGCCTTTATTAGCTCCCACTGCAGCTCCCAGGGCTTCTCCGGTGGCCCAGTGGTAGAGGATCTGCCTGCAATGCCTAAGCCACAGGAGACACAGGTTTGATCCCTGAGTTGGGAAGATCCCCTGGAGGAGGGCAGCCGACTCCAGTATTCTTGCCTGGAGAATCCCCATGGACAGAGGAGCCTGGTGGGCTGCCATCCATGGGGTTGCAAAGAGTTGGACATGACTGAAGCGACTTAGCACACATGCACACAGCTCAGCCCCCACTGTTACATGACTAGTAAACAGTGCTGATAAAAGGGCTGTTTTTTCCTCTGAGTGTTTCTTTTGGATTTATATTTGAAACTAGTTGAATCCTCTGTTCTCTGGCAAGGACCAGAGGTAAATCAAAGAAGCAATTTATTCCTCAAAGCCAGATGTGCCCTTGCATCCCATCAGCCAGCCCATGTTCCTGAAGGGCTGTGATGAGATGCTCTGACAGTCCCGGATGCGCCTCGGGATTTATTTGAACCTGATCATTAGTGAGTGGATGCTGAGTTTGATACAACTGAAACTCCTGAGAAGGAAGGGGGACGCTTATGAATCTTTCCACCCTAAGGAAATTGTGTTTTCCACCTTGTATTAGAGAGACATAAATAAAGGTGATGAAATGTCAGGAAACAAATGGGATCTAAACCATTTTAAGGGAATTTGATGCATTTCTCTTGGGTTTGGTTTTCTTGCAATAGTAGAGTGACCCTGTCTCTGACCCCAGCAAATCAGAATTCACAGTGGGTCTTAGGGGGCTTCCCAGGGGGCTCAGACATAAAAAATCCACCTGTCAAGCAGGAAACCCGGGCTTGATCGCTGGTCTGATCCCTTGGTTGGGAAGATCCCATGGAAAAGGAAATGGCTGCCCACTTCAGTGTTCTTGCTTGGTAAACCCATGGACAGAGGAGCCTGGCGGGCTCCAGTGCACAGGTTTGCAAGAAGTACTAACCAGTGGCAGCAGTGGATCTGAGGCAGAGATGAGCTAGTCTTACTGTTCTCTAAGTGTGGCCCCTGGACCAGAGGCGATGGTTTTACCTGAGGACTTGTCAGAAATGCAGATTTTTCAAGTCCCAACTAAGACCTATGAAATCAGAAACTCAAGTGGGGCCCAGTGATAGGTGCTTTAAGAGGCCCTCCAGTCAACTCTGATACAAGCTTAGGTTTGAGAACCCTGATGTCATTCATGATTCCCTGAACGAACATCTGAAGATCTTTTTAAAAACATACCATGGCCTAGACCCTTCTTCTCAGGAGTCTGACATGGGAGGTCTGGGGAGTGGCAGAGCGGGATTCCTCACCCTCCTCACTGATGCCACTTCAAGTTGGATGATTCTCTGTTGTGGGGACTGCCCTCTGTATTATAGGGGGACCCAGGCACTCACAACACTAGCAGCAGCCATTATAACAACCAAAAATGTCTGCGGACATTCGCCAAATGCCCTCCTGGGGCACAAAATTGCTCCTCCACTCCCTCCACCCCAGTTGAGAACCGGTGGCCTATTAGCAGGGTTCCCCCACCTCATTTTCTAACACCTGATGATCTGAAGTGGAGCTGATGTAATAAAAATAGAAATAAAGTGCACAGTAAATATAATACACTTGAATCATCCTGAAACTACCCCCCACCTCCACCCCTAATTTGTGGAAAAACTGTCTTCCATGAAACCAGTCCTAGTGCCAAAAAGATTGGAGATCACTGGACTAGAGCATTGCTATTTTTCCAGGTTCCCTAAGTGCTTCTACATACAACCAGGACCTGGAACCATTCATGTCACCCAGCCCTATTTTTTTTTAATATCAAGAGAAATGATGAGTTATAGTGGTTGAAGACCATGGGCTTAGAAATCCTCATCTAGTCACTCACCGGCTCTGCAATATCCCTGGGCCTCAGTGTCCTCATCTGTGGGCACAAATAATAGTGCCTGTCTTGTCAGATGCTGTCACCCTAAGCATAGCTGTGCCCGTAGAGTGTCTGGCTCAGAGTAAAGAGAAAACACTTGTGGGACAGTTCTCATCACAGTTGTCATATCCAGAAAGGCAGGCACACCTCTCTGGACCTTTATCTTTAGTTCCTAATAGGGATTGTTGATGACCAGGGTAGGCAGTGCCAGGTGGTGAGGGTATTTTTGAGGAAGCTAGTTAGCCATCTCATCCTGTCAACTACCAGCCTAGACTCTGGCCCAGCAGAAGCCAAAGTGCTAAACAAAGATGTGTGAGTGACACTGCAGGAGCTACAGACACTTCGAGAGGGACAGTAATGGTCCTATAACACCCTCCCTTTTCTATGTAGCTTTAAAAGGGTTCCCAGTGGGTGGGGGAGGAAAAGGGATGTCTGCCCTTGCCTTTCAGAGATGCTCTTCTTGTGCTGAAATGTCCTCTTTCCAAAGGATTAATAATGATAGTTTATCATGCCTGGTTTTTGCTTCTAACCTTCGCCAAGTTATCTTTGCGTCTCTTGTTTCCTTTAATACTTCATAGATACCATGTCCTACATGCTTTCTTTGAGTCCTTTATTTTATTGAATCATGTGCAATCTTGAAGACTTCCCAGGAAAGTCAGTATTATTGTCCCCATTTTACAGATGAGGGCATTGAGGCTCAGAGTGGGAAAGTAAGTGGACCAGAGTCACACAGCAGCCAAATCTGTTCTGATGCCAAAGACCCTCATATGTCACTGAGCTCTGTATAGCCAGTTTTTCAAGTGTTTTAACTGAGCCTCTAGAGGTTATGTGAGGTCACAGAGCACGTTGTTAGGCTCATGCTAGCCATGCTTCCATGCCACACAAGCCTGTCAACTCTTTCCTTGTGATGAAATAAATGGTGGCTGCAGACATGCCTCTTGCTATAAATGAGCCTTCCAAACGCATGTGGGCAGCCTGACAACTTCAGCATCCCCACATTTCACTGGTGCCCAGAGGTGGAAACAAATGTCTGCTGCATCCCGGGGGGGCCTTTATGAGGACAGCAGGTGACACCTGTTCTTCCCATGTTGGCAGGTCCTGTACAGATGGAGCCGACAGAGTAGCACATCTGTCATTGAAACAAACAAAACGTCGGTGGAGCTTTCTTTGCCTTTTGATGAAGATTATATAATAGAAATTAAGCCATTCAGTGATGGAGGAGATGGCAGCAGCAGTGAACAGATTCGAATTCCAAAGATATCAAGTAAGAACGTCTCTCTCTCTCTTTTTTTTTCCCCTCCCTTCTCCTTGTCTGCCTTACTGCCTAAGCCTCCCAGTGAGCCAGGGCTCAGATGAAATTAAAGATGATTAAAAAAAAAAAAAGACATGATAAAAATGGATAATACCATCCTCCTTCCTTAGACAACTGATATTTGCTAATCACAGGTAGTTTTGTGCAAAAGACAGTCTGACCTGTCTTGGCTGATGTAATAAGGATTTAATCACTTGACAATCAATAATGAGGTTAAAGCAGCCACAGATCAGTCACCCAGGATCTTCTATGTGACCCAGGTCGTTTAAAGCTCTAGTAACCCCCACATTATAGGTTAGAAAGTTAAAGTGTGACTTAGGAAGAACAAGCTAAAAAGAGTTCTTTAAATTGCTCTAGAAGCCTGTCTCTAGTGATATAATATAATTTAATGTCTTTGGCTGAAAATATTTTGAGCTTGAAACTGTTTATTTTGAACTTGTGTATGTAACGTGTACATAAGCACACATATCTACATATAGTCAAGAATATATTTGTTTTCAAAGACTGTTGAAGTTTATGTTTTTTTTTCAGACAAATACATTCAATCTATTTTTCAGTTGTGTTTGCAACTATCTCAACAGCATATTAGTTTTTGCTGTATGATTTTATTTGAAAAATTTTTTTTTAAAAGGCAAAATAGGAAAATCCATAGAGGCAGATTGGTGACTGAAAGTGACTGGCCACTGGTGTTCATTGTGGCTTAATGGGTACTAGGTTTCCATTTCAGATGGTGAAAAAGTTCTAGAACTAGATGTGGTCCTGGCTGCACAACATTGGAGTGAACTTAAGGCCACTGAGTTGTACACTTTAAAATAGTTAAAGTGGTAACCTTTACATTATGTGTATCTTACCACAATAATAAAATAAATAAGATTGCCATTAGTTATCTAAGTGTAGATTTTCACTAGCTTTTGGATTTACTAGTCAAGAGGTAAGGGGTTCAGTGAAGGCTGGAGATAGGAACTTTCAAGTCATTGATGGAGATTGGATATTTTAAATCAAGGACAATCCTTGCTACAGAGTCCTGAGCATCAGTCCCTTTGTTCAGTGTCCATTTTATTATTTGTCAGATGAGGAAAGACTCTGGTATCCTTGCTGTATCAAGTTACAATGAAGTATCCACTCAACTAGTTTTAACTGCATCTATCAAATTTGGATGCCTCAAAGCAGAAAAGAAAATGTTCACTGGTCACTTCACCCTTCTTCTGAATAAGCACTTATTACTGTTAGTGAATAGATTCTGGTGGGAAATGCAGGCTGCTCCAAGAACATGCTCTAGATTCAGGAGTAATTTGTCATCTTCCAGATGAGGTTTATATTTACTACACCTCTTTTGCATGCAAATACTAACATTTTTTTCTTTGCAAACACTGGGGAGAATTGGTTTCCACATCTCAGAAGAGGCTCTAACTTCTGTTGAAAGGAACCAGATCTATGGTGAGATGTGGAAGTAATCTCCGGGCCACAAAAAACACAAGATTGGAGTTTGTTTTGGGGTTAATTTATCTCTCTTTCTTAAAATCTGACTTCATACTTGCTTATCATTTCAAGAACTGTTTTTTTTAAGATTGATAATTCTTGATTTAATTCATTACAAAAACATTTGAAGCAATTTTATTGTTATAATGATTAGATGATAAGGCTGTAGCTGTGAATAAAACATGGTCTCTTTCTCAAGAGGTTTTCCATTTTGGTGGTTAGATATCTTACAGTCTTGATAAAACTCAAATGACTGTTGATAATTTCTTACTGTGAAAACAATATAAGACTTATAAGGAAAAGTTTTAAAAACATTGAGCTTATTTTGTTGGGAAAAAATTGGTATATTTAGATACATATATGTTGGAATCCCAATTCAGGTCTTTACTAAGTGGGTAATCTTAGACTTATCTTCTTTCTCTGAGCCCCAGTTTCCTTATCTGTTAAATTGTGTAATAACCATACCAGAGGGTCTCAGGGTTTTTGCAGAAATTGTCATATGGCTCTGTGCCCAGCACAAAGCTTGAATTTGAAAGAGAACATCAATGTTTATTTTGCTGCATCATTGATATCCTAGTATTTATCTGTAGTGTTTGCAGTCATTTTGAAGTTTCTTCTCATGTTAGATGTGGACACCCTTCCTTAACAAATGCTTAAATAGAGGTCCAAAGATGTCCATCCCTGCTCCCAAGTTCATAGCTAGGGTGTCATAGAACAGAGACTAAAAAAGTCAAGAAGAGTTGGTCTTGATACAAGTGAACTTACTTACAAAACAGAAAGAGACTCACAGAGAACAAATTTATGGTTGCCTGTATACACTGCTGTATTTAAAATGGATAACCAGCAAGGTCCACTGTGTAGCATAGAGATCAATGTTATGTGGCAGCCTGGATGGGAGGGGAGTGTGGGGAGGATGGATACATCTGTCTGTATGGCTGAGTCCCTTCATTGTTCACCTGAAACTTATCACAATATTGTTGATTGGCTGTGTTTAGTCGCTTCAGTTGTTTCCGACTCTTTGTGAGTCCATGGATTGTAGCTCGCTAGGCTCCTCTATCCATGGGATTCTCCAGGCAAGAATACTGGAGTGGGTTGCTATGCCCTCCTCCAGGGGATCTTCCTGACCCACGGATCGAACCCATGTCTCTTACACCTCCTACATTGGCAGGCGACTTCTTTACCACTAGTGCCACCTGGGAAGCCCATAATAGGCTATACCCCAATATAAAAAAAAAAAGTTTAAAATTGGCTATACCTCAAAAAGAAAAAGGTTAAAAAAAAAAAGAGAGAGAGAGAGATGGTCATTTCCAATAGACTTCAGACAGTTCTTCCATTTCCAAGAGCCCTGGGCCCTGCCTCCCTTGTTGCCAGGGTAAGTAGATGCTGAGTGAATGTCTTCTCTCCGCAGATGCCTATGCAAGAGGAGCCGGGCCGTCCACTTCAAATGCATGCACGCTGTCGGCCATCAGCACCATCATGATCTCCCTCACAGCAAGGTCCAGTTTATGACAACAGTTCTCCGGAGGACTTTCTCTTTATAATATAAGCAACATTTAGCTAGTTGTTTTGAAGACACCCAGTACTAAGTAATATTGTTGTTCAAGTACATCTTATTACTGGAAAAAAAAAAATGTTTTTTGCTTCTTTAGGAATGGCATTCTACAGTACTTCCTCAAAGCAAATCTAGCTTTGTCTGAAGTTTCTTTGGAAACTCTGCAATGCACTGAAGACATCTGTAATATGATGTTACCAAAGCAGTTTACATATGTCCTTATATGCATATTTTTTATTATATATTTAGTGTTTTATAGGATTTTTTAAAGTTAACATGAGATGTAGATATTAATTTTTTCCTCTGCTGTAAAATGCTATGGGCAACACAATCACACGATTATTATTTGAAAATATTTCCTTTACAGACAGAGTTGGAAGCTCACCTTGGTCAATACATTGCAGATTCCTTGTACAGTTCTACAAGGGTCTAGAGGCAGCACAGCTGAAGGATAAGTCTGTAACTCAAGGCTGCCGTGTAGGAATGACCCATGGGATGGCTGACGCACTCAATCAAGTCATTTAGCCATTGTACAATATGTTTTCCAGCCCTGTTGTGAATTTTGTTGTTCCACACAACTTGAAATGATTTCAGGAATGGCCGCAATCTCAAAACCTAAACTAACTGCCCGAGAGGCACCTTGTGCCGTACTCCCACCCCTGAATTTAGCATCGTACGGTAAGCCTTTCTTTTCCCTCGACTAAGTTAGCCTTGTATTTGTAGTAGCATTATCTTAGCCATGACACTGGAAGTTACATATCCTGTAGTAACATAGACCAAAAGTTACTATAGTCAACCACGTCTTTCAAAGGATAAAGAATAATTTTACTATCTTTAAATGTATCTGTTTTGAATGTACATTTAACAAAGAAAAGAGTAATTCTCTGTGGATGGATTCATAACTTCTTTACAAAATCTCTTATAGATAATATGTGTATCTCTTTAATGATAGAGCCCTTCTTTTAAACCAGAATTATGTAAGGAGTCTGGCAGATTTCTCCTATTTCAGCAAATAGTTGCCACAAATAATTTTTTTCATGACTCTGTAAGAGATCTTTAGTAAAACTGTATGGTATCTCGATGAGTCTCCTGTTTTGCAGTAGGTAGCCTTGTTGCTTTATAAGCTTTATCTTCTACATCTTAAAATCACGCATTGGAAAATGACAATATCAACAAAACCGTATTCTTATGAAAAGAACTATTTGTTATAACGGGGGAGGTTTTGTAAGTTGACACTAGTGGAACAGTGCAAATAAAATGCAATGAAATTTTCTATAAAAATTTTCACTTGTAAACACGCTGCACCTTTTCTTCTTTCTCAGAGAGCTCAAATTTGCTTGTAATTTGTCATTTTTGCTTACAAAGAGTATAAGTTAACTTTTCAACCTTCTAGCTATATTTATCCAATAAAGTCATAATCAGGATTCCACTTGTGTAAAAACTAGGGTGGTAACTGGGAAAAAATATATTGTCAGTATTTCAAGCTGTGTTCCTTTCTTAGTTTGATATGGTTACTTCTATGTTGAAATAAGACAAAATTTAAAATCACACACACACACAAAAATCAACAAAATAATAAAATGAATGAAAAAAAAAATAACACCCCAGGTAGTTCCCAACCCCAGTGTTAATGATATTTACCAGTGATCTAGCATATGTAATCTTTTTTTAAAGGTATTGTTAATAAATATTCTGTCATTTGTAAAGATACTTGTCTTTTGGGAGCATTTTTCCTGCCTGCCTGTCAGGGAATCTGTTCACTCACCCTTGTGCTAGTTATAATTTAAGATCCTAGAGGGACTCAAAAGTCTCTGGCTATGATCCCTACCTAGAAGACCCAGAGAAAACATCATTGCAGGTCCTCTTTGGAAGTAGAGAGGGTCAAAAGTCCACAAATAAATCTCCTGAAGATCAAACGTGAGTAGATCCTCTGGATTAACTCAGTCTTTTCTACACTTAATCTAAGGACATCCGTTGTTTTAAGGTTTCCCCCAATCCCATTGCTAAAAGGATAAAATCTAAACCGGAGGCCCTTGTTAATCTAATAACAACTTAAGTCCATACCCAGCCACATAGAGCCCTCACTGGCCTCTGAACACCACTTGCTTTTGGTCTCACCTCTGTGCCTTTTGGGCATCTGGCTGCCCCTTCTTGAAATACCCCCACTCTTCTTTAATCCCCGATCTTGACTGTTGTAGGGTAGCTCCAGCCCTGGCTTGTCTGTGAAGCCTTCCAACCCTCGCTGACCTCCTTCCTCTGAATAAGCTGCAAGCCCTGTCAATAGCCCTCACTTAGTAATTTAATCAGGTACTACTTTTGGAAGTCTCTTGTACTGTTATCTTGCATTTCAACTCAACTCCTGTATTGTTACTTAGTTTTCCTTGTATGTATGCCTTGTCTTCCCAACTAGATTGGAAGCTCCTTGAGGGCAGGAATTTGGTCTTATCTTCCATGTACTCTCCATAGTGCCTAGCACAGTGCCTTGCAATAAATAATCATTGATTAATTAATTGAAGGGGTCTTTGAAGTAGCATTTTGCATCAGTTGCCCGCCTGTGTGCCCCAGCAAACCTATCAGAAGAGACTGTCACTGTTTTGCAAGATGGCGGAAAGTGTCAGAAGACCTGGCTTCTGATTTGAAACCTTGGAAAAAGTCCTTGAATCTCTCAGCTTAATCATTTGGTAAATAAGGCCCTGGATTAGCTGAGTCTGACCAGGCTCAAGGTATTTTTCTAAAAGTGCCCCCTAGGCAACTTCACCCAAACGTGTCTCATTTGTTGGTTTTCATGGTTGTTGCAGGTTAGGCTCACTGCTTGCAAGTAACAGAAACAACTCTGGCTTACCTGAGCAAACATAAAGGAATGACCCAGGTCAGATCACGTGAGCCATGGAGACACTGAATGCCCAAGACTTGGTGAGACTAAGGAGCAGGCCACCCTGGGGGTGAACCTGCAGGAACTTTGCAGTCTTTTTGGGGAGCTGTTTTGGGGTGAATTAGCTCTGTTTCTGATTTCAAAGCCACTCTGTTCAATATCCAAATTCCTAGAAGAGTCTGATAGATTTATGTTACCCACCAGAGCACCTCAATCATGTACTCATAGGGGAGAGAGAGTTTGTTAAAGGAGACTTGAGATGATGTTTCTAGAAGATGGGAAAATAAATGCTGGGAATGTCTAAACAGCACACTATCTATGCTTAGCCATCCATGCGAGACTCCTCAGACGCTAGTCCCAATTAATATGTGCAGGGGAATGCATTACTGCTTGGGGTTGTTGCCCAATAACTATGAAGGAGAAGCATGAGAAAAAGGAATATTTGCTTTGGTTATTTCATCTTTTCCAGCACTTATTCTGATGCTCATTTTGTGTATGGGTGGTTCACCTGTGATTTAACTGTACAAAAGAAGATTCTATTTTGCCAGATAGTTGGATTCTCTCAGCATTCCAGAGTTTTTATAAAGCTCACAAAACCTGAGTATGAAACAACAACTTTCCGTGGGGGCAGAAGATGTGGATGATAAGTTTCATCCTCAGGTGAGCTTGCATTTCTTCCAACCTGTGAGGTGGGAGTTGCGTTAAGCTTTTATCTTAAGGTAGAATGACTGAGTTATTCCTCCCATCAAATGTTTGGTTATTTACATCTGGGAAGCAATAGTCAATCCTGATGAATCTTTTCCCAGTCTCTCCCACCACCCATATCCTACAACAAATATGCTCCAAAAATGTTGAATTCTAAAAAGTCCATAAATAGTAATAATTAGCTTTTAAAATGTCATGTAATTTTTAAAGCAATGTAATGTAATCAACCACCAGGTGATTTTTGCAAGCTATATTAGATTATCAATGATGCTGTTCACCTCCATTAACATAGATAATCAAGAATTGGATATATTTCCTCTTTTAATTTTCATTTTATATCAGAGTATAGTTGATTAACAATGTGTTAGCTACAGGTGTATAGCAAAGTGATTCAGTTATATCTATCCAATTATGTGTTCTTTTTCAAATTTTTTGTCCATGTAGGTTATTACAGAATATTGAGCTGAGTTCCCTGTGCTAAACAGTAGGTCCTTGTTAGTTATCTATTTTTAATACAGCAGCATATGCATGTCAATCCCCAACTCAGTCTATCCCTCCCCCCACCCCCACACTTTCCCCTGGTAACCATAAGTTGGTTCTCTAAGTCTGTGTTTCTGTTTTGTAAATAAGTTCATTTGTATCATTTTTCTAGATTCAGCATATAAGCAATATCGTAAGATATTTGACTTTCTCTGACTTACTTCCCTTAGTATAATAATCTCCAGGTACATCCATGTTGCTGCAAATGGCCTTATATCATTCTTTTTAATGGATTAATAATATTCCATTGTGTATATATGTACCACACCTTCTTTATCCAGTCCTCTGTTAATGGACATTTAAGTTGTCTCCATGTCTTGGCTATTGTAAACAGTGCTGTGATGAACATTGGGGTGTATGTATCCTTTCCAACAATGGTTTTCTCCAGATGTATGCCCAGGAGTGGGATTGCTGGATCATATGATAGCTCTATTTTTAGTTTTTTTAAGGAAACTCCCTGCTGTTCTCCATAGTAGTTATACCAGTTTACATTCCCATCAACAGTGTAGGAGGGTTCCTTTTTCTCCACATCCTCTCCAGCATTTATTGTTTGTAGACTTTTTTTATGGTGGTCATTTTGACTGGTGTGAAGTAGTATCTCATTGTAGTTTTAAGAGTTGGCCATATTTTCCTTTATGACAATTAGAAGAATTCTCTGGCCAACCATAATGATTTTGGGGAAAAGCCTTTTAAAATCAAATACTTATAGTCAATCTCTGGATCTACATGTACAATCTAAAGTGTTCTATGACAAAATGACAGACACTGCGGCCTTACCTAGGCAGCCTAGTACAGTGTCTAAGAGTATGAATTCTGGAGTCTGATCGCAGGGATGCATTC